TGATCGATCTACTCATATGATTCTGGGAATTAATCCCACTGCAAGCTTTAGCACAAAAAACCAGTGCCACGTAGGCTTGAAGTGGATATTCTTTCCTCATCAAGTTGGAAACCACCAAATGTTTCGTCTTATTTTGACATCGGTTTGAAGAATTGACAGGCCTGTCAATAATTCTACTTCAGTGATGTAGCTTCGTAGTGATTTAGGCCACCCTTATCCCCCCCCCCCGCCCCCCGCCGTCCCAGCTTGGGCTCCACCCAACTTTGAGAAGGAAGCGGGACTAATCAACAGATCAACCCAATGGTGTCATGTTTTGAGGGGTAGGTTGAATTATTTTTAACTGCTTAGGCCCATCCCCTCAACTCATTCTGTGAAGCTACGCCCGTGCTCTACTTAACATTAAGCTCTGGCTCTGGCAGCATCTGCTCCATTAGCGTAAGTTGCCAGTTGCGCTTATGTCAGAACACCCAGGTTAAACTGGGAATGACGTTTTGACCACAAGGACGCTTCGTTGCGCCTTTTTCTTGTTCTCTTCCTCGTTGTGCGGTGGTGGTGGTGGTGGGGGGGGGGGGGGGGGGGGGGGGGGAGCGGGGACGGGAAACCCTTCTATACCCGCCACCGACCTGTGAAGGTATTTGACCGATCATGAGCATTCCACTGCCTCGGGCGGCGGTGGACCGCAATACCGAGTTCTTTCATCGGTTTGGTGTCTGGACGTAAGCGCTGTATGCCCTGCTCCAGATCTGCCGAGTCCATCTGCCGCTGAGGCTGTTACAGCTAGAGGTGGCCGGGTACGGGAATCAGCCTGGGAAGCATGGCCAGGATGCGAGAGAGACTGTCATCCGAGATCTGATGTAGTTTTATTTCTAGACAACTTGATGGCTTGAACCCTCAGTATGCAGGATTGCCCAGGACAGATATACATGTAGAGTAGCAGTCGCGTTGCATAGCATAGCAGTCTCGTAAGCATGTAAGCATTAAGCGTAAGCATTTATTTCTTCAAGGCTTCAGAATGGATCTGTTCCTTGTTCTTAATTTCGTGGGTACGTTACCTGAAATTTCTCAGGCCAAAGACAAGGAACTGACACACTTCCGATGTAACAGTCGCCCTTGAAACCTGCAGCTTGCGCTCAAAGGCAAGGCATATAAGTAATACAAAACTGCATTACGTTTTTGCAAACATTCACGGAAGTAATTGTAGGACATGGGGTCAGTGATTTAACGCAGCGTGGTCATCAGATAGGCATGAATACAAAAACCGACTTGTGGGTGCGCTGACCTACTTAGAGTAGCTGTGGTCGGAATCGCTCGCCTTGGATGCACCAGCAATGGAACGACCCCTGCTGTTTTTATAAGCAGAAGACCCCAGTCGGCCACATTCAAAGGAGACAAAGCCGACGCCGCGAAACCTACCATATGTGGTGATGCGGTGGGAGGCTGCTAAATCCCCAATGTTTGTGAGCTTTAACATAAAATCTACGCGTGTTATTTACAAACTGACTGAAGAACAAAGTATAACACCAAACTGAAGGGAAAAATCTTCCCCCTTCCGCACGTCGCTGAGCCGGCGAGGTGCGCTAGCAAATGGCGGCGCCCATGGCCAACGGCTCTCGCGGCGCCGGCGTCCGGCGGTCCCGGGCCAGCTGTGCCATTGAGTCGCGTGGACCAGTTTGATCGAGCAGCGGCGTATTAGGGCCTGACATCGTATCTCCATTAGCGCGGTCAGCAAAAACCGGGTGGCATTTAATACACGCCGATAGCGGGACTTATTTCCAGGCTGGGCCCGTAGTTAAATGGCTTGTTATCGTGCCTACTCTGCGTTTGAAGCGCTCTGACGTGCTGGCGGTGGGACTGTTCGGCATTCAGTCCAATGACTATTTACAAGGAGCTGAGTTCTGCGCCGTCGAATTGCATGCTAGCAGGTCGGTAGGACAGGTATCAAACAAGCTACGGACCGCAAGCGTTTTTGGTCCGCCCCTATCGAGTCCGATTTCGGATATTGTCCTGTTTTATAGAACAAGATAGATGTTCGTGGTTGAATTGGGCAACATTATCGTGCTGTACGGCATTATCGTGCTAACGCGATGGCGTGCACGTACGCTGTCACAGCTAATGCAACTTTATAGAGAGAATGATAGGACCCTATATCGGCAACAATGCATAGATTAATGTCCTGAACACTGAAACCGAAGAAGCTTTCGGCTACTTTGCGGGTATCACGCCGACAGATACAAATTTGGGGCCTCTGAGACGCCTATCACACTAGACTTAATTTGTCGTATCTTCGTTTTTCGGAACAATTAAGGAGCATTCCCTTACAAGGAGTGTCCCACATTTACGGCGGTTTTGAGCTGAAATATATACTTTTGAAGATGATTCCATGCAGTTCACAGCTCTGTTCTTTATGATACCCAAAACCTTCCAGTTTCTGAGCTACATGCCTGTCGTCGTCGGCACTGGGACTTTACTGCTGAGGCAATGTGACGTCGCCTAACCTCTCCACTTTGGCAGGAAATGCGTGCATTGTGTGGAATCGAACACGGTACCTCTGGTTTCCCAGACCGTGTAGTGGTTAACACAGGCGTGTTAATCGCTACGCCATCAACACCCCAGAGCTACGCGCCTGCAAAAATAAGCGCACTTCTCCGCGCAGACTACTTCAAGGTCATATAGGCATGCATGACACCAAAGCAACGTCATTTAAATCCTGCCACGCCCATTTGCCACGCCGCGTCCAAGGCCACGGAAGATCGCCATCGTCGAGTCGTTCAGATCTGGCGTCCGTGACATGAGTGCCAAGTAAAGTGGACGTCATTGGCTCTAAATCAATTTTCAGCACGCGGGGGCAAGCTTCAATCACGATTAGCTTTTTCTGGGAAGGGGGGGGGGGGGTGGGGGTGATTAGAGCTCTTTCGACCAGAAATGATCATTTTAGACGCAGCTTAGAGTTGCACGAAACACAGGCGACTAAGACGGAATGTTACGGTGACCCATACCGAGTAAAAAGTTAGCAAATTGCTGACCACGGAAATCAAGCATCTCAATCATTTCTCCAGCATCACAAACATCCCGGGGATTTAGGTTCGCGCATCCTGACACCCGACACACTTGCCAAAACACGGGCGGCTAGACTGGAAGTTTTTGATGACCTGCACCGAATAGAACAATGAAAAAACTTTTAAGGATCTAATTAGATTTGATAATTAAAAAAGCCTTTGGCTGTCCGTGAATCAATCCACATACGCCAACAAGGCCTTGCTGAAAGAGACATTTCATGCTGGTTAATCATGTAGGTTATATGGGTACATGCTAGCGCTATTTATCGTTTTTAATTGTTGAGTTAATGTGTGTGCTATACGTGTCATTTTACACTTCTTCTTTTTTTAGAAAAACAAGGCATATTTGTTGTCAAAACAAGATAGTTTCTGTGCCTAGCTGTTTGATGCCGACGATGTGAGCAAGTTGCGTAACCGGATACTGATTAAAACTGCATCTTAATGAAACAACAAGTCGTGAATCATTATTGAGAGGTCATTTAACATCAACTGGCTTATCTTCCCATTTACATCCACGTCCGTTAAATTACTGACACGTTCCCGCTCAAGTTCAGCGTCGAGTTTCGGGTGTCTGAAAATGCGTTGCTGGAGCAGACAGCAGACACAAGTTACGGAACTGCGGTCCGTTTCGTTCTATCTCAACCATTTGGCCTCCAGAAGGTAAAACACAAAGTCAACCATTGACAATACCATATCTGCCAAATGAGGCTTTATAGAAAGATAGGCAAATATTTCAGCCAAGGGTGGCAAAACACCCAACAAGGTTAACTTTCAGATCACATTCGAGATCAAGGCACGGGATAGCGTCGTGCTGCCGTGTATTGGGCTGATCTGTATGAATTGGGTGTCATTAGAAAGCGCGGTGTCCATTCCAGCCGGGCTCTAAAAACACACGCAAATAAGTCAATCTTTAAAGTCATGCTCGTGATAAAGGACAGAGTAGCGCCGCACTGCCGCTGTAAGCGATTCGATTTCTAAGAAGCAAGTTCGTTCGAAAACGCGGCGTCCGTCCATTCCAGTCTGGGCTATTAAAACACCACCCTTTAAGGTCAATCATTTCTGTCACGAAGGTCCAAAGCAACATCCGCAAGGTAGAAGGATGGTAGGTGCAACGCTGCCGCCGTATGGAATTGATGTTATAAGTCGACGCCTCGTGAATGCCCGCAAATGGGATGTAATCTGACAACTAGGCATCTATTGTAGCTGCCGCTCTAAAAACATTGGATCAATGTTAGCCTTCAAAACTATGTGTGCTTTGGCATATATATGGGAGAAGGTTGCGTCAATTTTTCACTGTTCACAGTCCGTCCCCGCACTCAGTTTGCGAAGTCCAGACAGCCCTGGAATACATGATAGAATATCCCAATGAAAGGATTCATAGTGAACTACTGAAGGCCCTTGTGTCAGACTGATACTCCAGTACCAAATGGGAAATCTCTGCCCCATTTCGGGTCCAATGAGCCGAACTGGGCCCCGTGCCGATTATTGGATCATTTGCTCCGATAACAGATCGTTTGGGGCTACAAAGTCCCCTGCGTCGGTCCCGGCCAGCTGCTCCGGTCGGAGAGTACCTGTTGAGGGTCTCAGAATCGACCGATGTTCATAAACGTAGCGATTGGGCCTCTCGCTAAACACGCCCGTTAGCATAACAGGGCAAAAGCAAAGACGGCTTGAGTCCCCATGAAATAAAGTGGGCCAAATGCGGTATCTTAGATGGGACGAGGCATCTCTGTGCACCGCTGGGGAGCAGCCGCCAGTGATTGCGAAGCCTCAGAGATGATGAGGGAGAAAATGCATTTTCACATTGTTTCTTTACGCGCATCTTAATTGGTTTAATGCCAAAGTTTCTAAAGTTGCCGAAGTGCCGCCTGCCGCAGGCTCCTATGACCTTTGAAGTCAAGTAGGAGATGGGGCTGCGCTGTAAAAGAAGAAGCGTCCGTACACGGGTGTGTTGCGCTTGGTGGTGCCGTCGTGGGTAGCGCCCGGGAGATTCCCGGACGCCACTTGGGTAGACCTGCGGTCGTTTTTGAACTGTGATAACAACATAATAATAATTCCAAGTGGGAGTGTGTCGTAACTGGATTGCTGACGGCCACGGTTATGGCCTAAAGCCCGAGCAACCTGTTGCATCAAGATGGACCCGCCCTCCGAGTTTACAGCGGAATCTGTCCGCGATTATATCTTAAGTAGAGGTGGAAAGGTGACCAACCACGAATTGGTGAAGCACTTCAAACCTTTTCTGACGGATCCTGTGTTGAAAGGTAAGTTTTGTGGTGCGTGCTGATACGGCAAGTATTCTTAATGGATGTGGCAGATCTGGCGCATTCAAAACAATGGATTTAGTGTGATTCTCACAGCTGTAGTTTGTAGAAAGGTCTTAAGGTTTTGCCATCGATTCTACCTTAAATATGGACAGTTTTCATTTTTAAGCATTAGGTTTATATACCCATTATACATTTATGCTTCAGACTTCATACACTATGGCTGCATATCCAATAGCCAATTTAAGTGTTATCTTTGTGTCTGTAGCCTTGTTTTCTTTATTGACTCTGTAAAAATTTGGTAAAAATACTGTTTTGACAACCTCAGTCCTAGAACTGAAGATGGACAACAACAAGCATGATTGGGATATGTTAGTAGCTTGATCTGCCATAGGTCATTGTAAAATGCATGCTAGCGACAACCTTGAAGGCTCCTGCGTCGAGTTGACTTTTCAAGCTTCCATGTTGGAATAGGCACAAAACACCAGAAATGGTGGACTTGGTGGGCCATAAATGGATCAGGTGTAGTAAGAAATGTATGGCTGAAGCCCCCAACTAAATACAAAATATTGCTCGTGGAAGGAAAGTATCAAACTAGCCTCCCCATGGTGAGTCATGAAAGTATTGAAGTGTAGAGTGTCTGGGAAACCAGAGGTAAGGGATTTGGTTCCCTGCATTGCCAAGTCCCTCTGGTCAGGGTGAAAGGCAGGTGAGGCCATGTAGCCTCAAGCTGAGTGTGTTGTAAAGTACCAGTGATGATTAAGTGTAGAGTAGTGTAGATGAAGGTAACACATAATATGCCAATGTTGTAAGACTTGGCATTTCCATAGGTTGCATAGCTTTTGTATTAATACAAACTTGCTCTGTCATTCAGAGAGATTACATTTGAAGGCATTGTACTTGGTCAAGGTCATGCCCTTTTATCATACCACATGCTCATTACATTACAATTAATGGAGTGATAATGCAATTAAAAAAAAAAACAATTGAATAAGAATGCATGAAATGTGCATTATTATTCAATTGTAATTGTAGTGTAATATGTACCCTACACCAAGTACAAAAATTGGTGCAGGATGCTGATTGGTATGAGTACCAATAAGCTAAACATGCCAGTGACAAAGGATAAGTCACACCTCTGCCATAGCAAGCAAGTTGACAATGTAGCAGTTCAAAAGAGAGCTTTCAAACTGCACAAGTTGACAGTTGTGGTAATAGGTGAGTATCAGTGGCGTGCCACTGAGACCAGACTACTTTCTGACTAGCCCAGCTCAAAATCCAACACAGGTCACGCATGCGTGCACTGGCTGTCTTCCTTGACATCTTTCTTGTTGCCCGGACTGGCTGGTACGCAGCGAATCGTTTGAGATCCGTTCTGAATTGCCCAAGTTTACTCGCAGACGGTGCCTCGGTCAGTAGTAAATACACCGTGCACGGCTCGCACTAACACATTCTGCAGTAGAAAACCACGCGTAAAGGAGCCCGCTGCATTTGCTAAGGAAGACACAGGTCGCCTCCTGTTCTGTTCGTGTCACGTCATCCCCTACACTTGTACCACCTCGGGCGTTTCGAGCAAGCCCGCTCACACCGGCAGCGACGTAGCCGAACGTTGGGTCGGCCACGCCGTTACACATACCGCGTTGCCCGGCCTGGCTCATCGGGCGTCGTCTGACGTCACAGTGTCCGGGCCTGAGGAGGCCGCTCGGCGTCTCGGGGGTCCGATGACGCGGCGCGCGCCAGCCGAGCCGGCGCCGCAGCCTCCGATGGAGCGCGGTGGGGTGACGTGCACACCTGGCGGCGTGACCAGAGTGATGGGCGCCCCAAAAATCACCCGCGGTTTCCTCACGATCGGTTTGGGTATCGCGTGGCAGTGGGGCCGTGATGGATCTCGGGAGCGTCGAGCTGACCACGACAGGCAGGCGCGTGGCCACGCCACTGAGGGTGTCATTGCTCACCGCTCCTCTCTGTGGAGCGGTGGCGTATTTTTGGTGGTCGCATTGTGTAAAAGCTCGTCTGAGAGTTAAAGCTGGAGTTTTGTGGTCTTTCAGTCAGCGATAGCGCCTAGCGTAGCGGCCTGGAAGCTATGAGAGTTATTCGTTTGTAGCGTTCCAAATGCCACTTTTCCTAGCTCTTGTTTGGAATCTTCTCATGCGGTGCTTAGATATTGAAGATGTTACATAATCGATCTATACATATCTTAGCATTGTACGTGCCTTAGAGACACGATCCTTATCATGTCACCAATTGCGGCATGTCGAGCTGGGATGGCCTGTTTTAGTTCTAGGTGCAGTATTACTGACCAGTCGTTACTGCAAGTAACGCTCCGGGCTACGTGAGTCCGCTGTTCTGACGGAGGCTGCCGATGCTGTCTGTCGGAGGACTGGCCACACTGCGCCCTCTATTGCAGACCATGCTCGTGCCCAGTTCAAAGAGTTCGTCAACACGCTGGCCAGCATCAAGCTGGAGGACGGTGAGAAGTACCTGGTGCTGAAGAAGAAGTATCGCTCAGGCTTGCTGGCGGAGGTGCTGAGCGACGTTGGCTCCGAGTACAGTTACGTCTCGCACAGCACCAGCAGCAGCACGCCCGACCCGCCGGACCTGGGTCTGCCGGTGCCGCGCGCGCCGCCGCCGTACCGTCCGCCGCCGCCTCCCACGGCCGGCTACGGGCCGCCGTTCCCGGGGCCGGCGCCGTACCAGCCGCCGGCGGCCTACTCGCCTGGCTACCGGGCGGTGGCGGCGCCCGGGCCCGAGCGGAGCCCAGCGCTTGACGAGTACTACCACGTGGCGGAGAGCCGGCCGCTGCGCGCCGACCCGCAGCCGCTGGGGTTGCCGGCCACGCCGCCGCCCGAGCTGCTGGAGCGCGTCTCGCCGCGTCGGCCGGCCGAGCAGCGGCCGCGTCAGCAGGCGCCGCGCCGCCGCCGCTGCCGCCACCGGCTCCGGCCCGGCCCCGGCGCTGGTCGAGCCTCTGGAGCGGCGCCCTCCGCCGCCCGGCGAGAGCCCCGAGCGCGGCGGCGCCCCGCCGATGGAGCGGGCGCCGGAGGACGAGCCGCCGCCGCCGGTGCCGCCGCGCCGCCGCTCGGGCGGCAAGGAGAACCAGACGCCTCCGCCCGACGAGCAGGCGCCGGCCGCCGACGCCGAGGCCGAAGCCGCCCGAGAGGTGAGACGACCCGGACGCTGCTGACGTCCGCCGCACTGCCGCGCTGGCGTGCCGACTGGCCTTTTGGCTTGGGGTCTCCAGCGGCGCCTCACACGCCGGCTTTGTTTGGGTTCGCTTAAGTGCTTTACGCGCCTGCGTGCGTGTGTGTGTGTTGGGGTGTGATGCACGGGCTGGCTGCGGTTGTTGGGGCACCAGCGACGCTCTCTACCCTGGTTTGTAGAGCGCGCTGGAGGAGGAACGGCAAAAGAAGATCAGCGTGAAGGAGCAGACGCAGAAGTTCAACCGGATCGCCTCCGAGTCGCAGCTACTGCTGCCCAAGCAGAATAACAAGCGCCGTGACCGTGCCGACAAGGTGGGTGTGCCGCAGCCGGTTGGCTGTGGAGGGTCTGGGGGACCCGGAGGTCCACCAGAGCAGGGGAGAGTCACGAGGACAGGGAAGTGTGATGGGTGAGTACAGGGTGGGATGGGGCGGGGCTCAGGAACAGGGGAGTGTCTGTCGGCAGGAGAGAGTCAGTGGGACGGGGGCAGAGTTCGCCGAGTCTGTTGGAGCGGCGCTCGGACCGCAGGGGGTGCTTTGGCGCGTTGGACGGCGACAGTCACAACATGCGTACCGAGCCGTTCAGCCCGCCTGGTTCTCCCGAGGTCAGGGGCGGTGGTGGGGTCGGGGTGAGGGGCGGTGCCGTCGGCCGACCGATGTTGACCCGGTGCTCGGCAGAGGCGCAGGGACGGCGGCGCGAACGGTGAGGGTGACCGAGTGTCGTGCCGACGTCACCCGCCGCCCCCCCCCCCCCCCCGCCCCGCGACCACTTACCCAAATGACGGTGCCCGGGTTAATTAGGCCGCCGCCGGCTGGGCAGTTAACGCGTCGCGCGCGCTGGCTGCCGCCCAGCGACCGACAGCGAATCCAGACCCACCCCCGCCGCGTGAGCGGTTCGGGCCCGGTCGCCGACCCGCTGGCGCCCAGAGCGTTTGCCAGCTGGGCTAAAACTCATCGGGAGCATGTCCGGGGAGCGGCTTGTCCAATTGGCGAATTATTGTAAGGGATGCGACTAGGTGAAATAGTTGCACAAGTGCATAATGCTCATTCGGCAAGTTTTGTGTATGATCCGTTGCGTCCGGTGATTGGCCGTGTTTGGGATCTGTTTTTCTTTCTGACCAATTGGTTTCCGTTGTACTCTGCTGAACCGCGTTCTACCGACCTAAAAGGCTAGGCAGCACCCATCCATCCATAAATGGGAACGCACCACCAGAGATCCGATATACCCGAAGATCACATGCCTGTGATGCTGTTCCTTTGCAGGGTTTTGTTAATTTCCGCTGTCAGACTGCGGTTATATTATTAGGATGTGTATAATCCCGTGCATTCCGTCATCCTCTGACCGGTGTCTGTGTTTCAGCTGCCTGTTGATGATGACGACTCCTTGTCAACGACGACGGTAAGTGCATGGCGATGTTGTTCTTGCGGGGCCTTGTTTGCTATGGTCGGATGCAGTGGGTCTTGGAATGGCGGGGAACATGATGCCATCGTCTTAACATTGCTGCGTTTGTTTACCGGGACAACATTGCATGAGCGCTGATACCAGGTAGACTCTTACGGTGAAGCGCTATGTGACCTCGTCTCTGTCAGCAGTGCCGGCTGGCCGTGCTGTTCTAATGACCGCGTGGCGTTAGTGAGAGATGACAGTGAGGTGTGTGGTCGGTCGCCGGACGGACGAGCCCGCCGTCGCAGCGCTGCACTCTGAGGCCCCTGTGAGGCGTGGAGATGACACCTGTCAGACGTAGAGGTGACGCCTGTCAGGGAGGGACACCCGTCAGGCGCAGAGGTGACATCCGTCAAGTGTATAGGTGACGCCTGTCGGGCACAGAGGTGACGCCTGTCAGACATAGAGGTGACGCCTGCGGAGCACAGAGGCGACACCTCTCGGGTGTAGAGGTGACGCCTGTCAGACGTAGAGGTGACGCCTATCAGGCACAAAGGTGACGCCTGTCAGGCGCAGAGGTGACATCCGTCATGTGTAGAGGTAACGCCTGGCGGGCACAGAGGTGACGCCTGTTGAGCGCGGGGCGACCCCGGTCAGGTGTAGAGATGACACCTATTACGCGCAGCGGTGACGCCTGTCAGGCGCAGAGGTAACGTCTGACCCGAGCTACACCGTCCCCAGTTCGAGGGCGTCAACAAGGAGTGGATCCTGATCAGCTCGTCCTGCAAGTACATGGAGATCGTGCGCATGCTCAAGGACAACCCCAAGCTGGCCAAACACAAGGTCAGTCTTGACCCGGCGTTGGTTGTAACTTTCCCCTACCACTGCCCTCGCAAGCCGCCATTACACCACGGGAACACGCAAACAACACACGCTCGTGAAAGGTGCTTTTTCTTAGGTCTTATGCGAAGAAATACTTTCAGAAGGGATTTTTCGGTGGCTTTATGAAGCCAGAACGTACCGATGCAATTGCGGTTGAGACTACTGCAAGTGTATGTCATTTTGTCAATCCGTTTTCTTCTGGGGAACGCGGGATAACGCGACACGCTGTTGGTGCAGTGTGGTCGCACAGTCCAGCACGGAATAGTGACGGGAACCAGCGGGTAGGATGCTGTTCTGGTGGGCGGCTGGCAGGACGCTGCTGTGGTGGGCGGCTGGTAGGACGCTGCTGCAGTGGGCGGTTGGCGGGACGCTGCTCTGGTGAGCCGCTGGACGCTGCTTTGGTGGGCGGCTGGTGGGACGCTGCTCTGGTGAGCGGCTGGTGGGACGCTGCTCTGGTGAGCGGCTGGTGGGACGCTGCTCTGGTGAGCGGCTGGACGCTGCTCTGGTGAGCGGCTGGCTGGACGCTGCTCTGGTGAGCGGCTGGTGGGACGCTGCTCTGGTGAGCGGCTGGTGGGACGCTGCTCTGGTGAGCCGCTGGACGCTGCTCTGGTGAGCGGCTGGTGGGACGCTGCTTTGGTGGGCGGCTGGTGGGACTGCTCTGGTGAGCGGCTGGTGGGACGCTGCTTTGGTAGCGGCTGCCGTGCAGGCCGCCACCAGCTCCGCGCCTCAGACTGGGCCGCCCGCCCCGTCGGACGCTGTCTCTCCGTCGCACGCCCACCTCCTCCCGCCGGCCGATGCAGCGTGGACGCGTGCTGCCGCGCTCTGCCGGCCGTGCGTCCAACAGTCCCACGGTGATTAGCGGCGGCTGGCTTTCCGACACCGCATGGCTGCA